AATTACTGTCAGCTAGTTATTATCACAATCATAGGAACAATTTATCCTTCCCTTAACAGAAACCTCCCACATGAATGGAAGGAAAGGGTATTATTCTAAGGCTGTTCCTCTTTTCTTGGGCCTTCTGTGAGTATTGAGGCCAAAGCATAGTTTTGCCTGTGATATGACATTTATAGCTCATTATGGTGAGGAGGACAAGACTCTGAAGTACAGTGCTTTGGCAGTGGGATGGCTCTGCAAAGACCCCAAGGAGGAGAACCTGGGGAAGGGACTCAGTCTTTCCCAGAAGAACCTGCTGCCCTGGCCAAGCCCCTCTGTCTCCAGCCCCAGGGTGAGTTAGTGCATTCTTGTTGGAGTCAGGTACTTCATTTACCTAGTGCCCCGGAGCCCACTGTACTCTCTGGGTATGTTACTATTTGCTTGCAGTCCACTTTTGATCTCTGAAGTTGAGAGAATGGGATTTTTTTTTTTTATAATCGAACGTAGGACCTTGCCTGCACTTGCAAGGCAGGTACTGTGCCGCTGAGCTATATCACTAGCCCAAGAATGGGATTCTTGTCAGTAATCACAGATTTTGTTAAAACCATGTCAACTTTTAGTCTTTATTGAGTACTTGTCTGTGCTCTGTGGTGTAGTAAGTTAGTTGGAGTTATGTAGATGAACCTGGCCCTTGCAGCACTAATAAGAGATCTTACTGGGACAGAGGCAGGCCGATGCAGTGGAAAGAGCAGATAATCCTCACTCTGTGCACTTGGAAAGGTACTTACCCCTGGGCCTCAGCTTCTCTGTATACAAGTGGTCCTGTGAGGGTAACCGTAGTGTACCTGAAAACCCTGTCATAGGGAAGGCATGGGTAGAGTCCTTTCTTTTAGGTCTTCCACATCCCTGATGTTATCTGGGAGGATCAGTCAAAATCTCTTTTCTGAAGCTTTCAGACCAGCTTGGCTGGCTCACTAGCAGCAAGGATGTATCACCTCTCAACTCTATGTTCTTTGGCTAATTTCCCATATGCTCAGACTTCTGGGTCCAGAGATTGTTAGTTAGGATAACTTTATTACACTGATAGTTACTAAGGGTGCTATGAACTAGTGGGGATTGCCATAGTAAAAAAAGGGCAAAAATAGTCCTTTCCTGGAGAACCTTTGGCGTAGTGGGAACCAGACAAACAGTGAAACACAGGCTCCTGGGCCCTCATCTGTAGAATGAATCATGGTTCAGTACAGATGGATTATACGAGTTCTGTTCTTCTACACTGGGGTTATTTGTGCATCACACTAGTTTTTTTGAAAAATGGTAGAGAATGGTAATAATCTTCCTGTATGCTTTTTCAAGTTGCTAGTGTGCAGTAGTTTATCAGTTTCATTCTGGCAGTGACCACAGATGTTGTATAAGCAAAGACATAGTTGTTCCATTTTCATGGAAGTTACTAATTTAATAGGGGATTTGAGAGCATTTTAGACTAAACTTTTAGTGGCTGCATAGTAGTATCTCAGTGTGAGTTTTCTGTAATTTATCAACTCCCATTTCTAGTTGATGTTATGCTTATTTTCAGTTTTCACTGCTATGAAAATGGGGCAGTGAATATCCTTATATTTTGGCAAACTTTGTAAGTATGCTTATAGGGCAAAATGGGGCATTGTTTGATCAAAGGATATATTGTATTTAAAATGTTGCTAGATATTGCCAGATTCTTTTATCCATGAAGATTGATTTTGTAAGTGTGGGGCAGGACCAAACAATCTGCATTTTTAACCTTTCTGAGGTAATTTTGATGCAGCCAGATTGGAGAACTATTTTAGAATGAGAAAAATTTCGAGATTCTCTGCAGCTAAGGAATATAATGTCCTGTGGCAGAGGTGGGTCAGCAGAGGTGGGTCAGCGATGGAGACCCAGGAAAGGGGAGGAGCCTTCAAAGTGCTGAGCAGTAGGAGTTCATCTGCCTGCAATCACAGTTGCTAGCAGTGGCCAGCTTTAGAGAAGTGGGGGTACTGATGCTTATCTGGAATGTGTTCATCCTGTGTGTTCCTAGATGTAGGGATTGGCTCATGAAAAGGTCATACCTTTTGTGCCCCTTCTCACTGTGACCTCAGACTCCTATCCAGTGTGTCACAGACAGAGGAGCCATTCTCCAGACCCCTTTCTCTGAGCACACCTCTTATGTCCCTTTAGACATGGAGTGTAGGGAAATGAGGTAAGAATTACACTGTGCCATTTTGGACACTTTGCTTATTACTAACGTGTAATTTTGGGCACATTAATGGAGTCGAATCTTTCTTTAATGCAGTGACACTGCCAACCTTCCAGGTTTGTTGCAGAGGTTAAAGGAGTGATGGAACCTCACTGAGTCCCTCTTCTGTCTTTGGTACTTCGTGCAGATGTCCGTCACACAGCCGGTGCGTGTGAGCAGTGACTCGCCAGTCCTTCCCTGTTAGACCGGTGGTGACCACATCCGTGGCTGTGGATTCCCTGCCCTGCCCAGGCTGGGATGTGGTGCACTGTTCTGCTTCTTAAATTAGTGATGTATGCTTATCACTTGCGAATAGATATTCTGCTTTAATTTTCATAATTATTATAACAGATAAATATTATTTCTTATATTCTACTGTGGGCAGTGCTCAGAGCATGCAAGTAACTTACTCCAGATCCCATAGTGTGACAGAGTGGCAATTGAAAACTCCTGATTTCAAACTGGATCCAGCTTGTGCTTTCCCATCAGTCCACTCTGCTGAGATAATTGTGCAGGACGTACGGGAAATTGGGAAATGTTGTCTGAGGGCAAGCTTGTTTTAGTTCTATAATTTAAAAGATTAGCATGGTGACATAGACATTTCTCTTGCCTGTACTTAATAATTCCCTTTCAGTTAGCTTTCCTGAGCACATGATACAGTAAGTCTGTCTTTTCTGTAAGAATGTAAGTAGTCACACCCTCTTGTTTTTCTTGTTTCTATTGCTTAAAATTGTTAGCTTTTCTTTTTTTGAACTGTTTAATACTTGTGCAACATAAGTTGAGGATGGTTTATAGTAATCAGAGCAGAATTTTGGTAGCTTTGGAAGTGTTAGTAACCCCGGAAAGTAACATTTGTGCTCCTGTGTGGTCCTTATCCTCATCCTTCTTTCCTTGGTAGCCATGGGCTTTGAGGGCCAGTTTAGGGCATAGGTCAGTGATTAGCCATTATCACATGTCATCCCTGTTACTGGAGCCTACATTGTAGATTCATTGCTTAAGTGTATGGAAATAGTGGGAAAAGTACCAACTCATAAGTACTATATTTGTTACTGTTTTTTTTTTTGGCTCTGGAACTCAGGACCTTGTGCTGGCCAGGCAGGTGCTTGTGCCGCTGAGCTATCTCCAGGGCCCATATATTTGTTACTTTTAAATGAAGCTCTTCATTGGAGGATTAGGTTGTTGGACCATTTTGAATATTTCAGTGTGAGTAGAGTTTGGAAGAAACTCCACACTCACTGTCTGCCCCTTAGTCATAAAATTCACAGAGTTGCTAGGTAAGAGTTGCATACACCAGGAAGTGTAGCAATACAAGAAATATATGTTTCTACAAGCTATATGTTGAGTGAGGGAATTTTCCCAACAATTCTATTATCGTTATTCTTAGGACACAGGGTTTTCTTTGCCCAGTATTTTTACAAATCAGCTTGTTCTAGAATTTATTCTTTAAAGCACGCTGGGTTGGCTTCCTTCCTTCCTTGGTGCCTGGCGTGCTTAGGTGAGCAGTACAGGCAGGCTCAGCGTGGACTCACAGACTCCCCTGTGAGTTGATGGCCATAGGTTAGTTGCTGTCCTTGTGCTTGCCATCCTGCCTCCGATGCTGTGTCAGTTTAACTTTTTACCATGTGTGGGCCTGTGTCGGAAAGCTGTGTCTGGTTTCTGTCTTTCTGGTTTTAACCTGGGGAATGCAGTTGAGGTCTTCAGTGCCTCCTTATTTTCAGAAGGAGAAACGAGCTTTGGAGAGAAGCTCTAACAGAATGCATTATGGCCTGCAGGGTCAGGGGCTGCACTGTTGGTTTATTCACTTTTTATGAATTTCAGTTTTTATTTATGTATTTCACTGTAGTGTTGTCACAATGAAATGACCTCTGGGCACCAGAGCGCACATAAATTAGCAGTAAGATGTAATTTCTGATTTTACTTCTGCTAAAATGTTCAGCTTTTTGTAGGAGACAGAAGCATGTAAGATGGCCACAACAAATAATTTTTTTAGATAATCTTAATTTTTAAATCAGTAATACTTGATCAACTTCACTGTTAATAGAACTGGATTATTATCTGGATGATGGGGTGCATGTGGGGAAATCATTCAGTTGTATCCTGTACTAGTTGCTAGAGTAATCTCACACCCTAATTAAGGGTTAATTATTGTTGTTAATTGCTTAATGATAAAGTTCTTTTGAAAATAACAGCTTACTCTTGTATGTGAAAAGTACCCTTTCCACGTATACAGAAGAATAAATATTCGGAAAGTTATTTTTGGCCTTGTTATGTCAAATAGTCAGTTGCACAAGGATAACATATTAAACCTAAAATTACACTTTTGAAAGCCTATTGAAAACAAAATTCTCATATACTTTCGTTATCAATTTTTCAGAGGCTGTAAACCTGTTCTAAGACTGTGTAGTGCATATTTTTATACTGCTGACCTGCCGCTAACTGCAGACTTGATTAGATAAACAGAAATCTGTCTTAATTACATCTTTATGTGTCACACTAGAGCGACAGTTAACAATGGGAAAAATTCTGGTTGCAGTGTTTAAAAACGGGAAGAACCCATTTCTTGTTAATAGCAATTGTTGAATGATAATGCTGAGGATGGAATGACTTTACTTTCTGATGTGACTTTCAGTGTTTTTTATTTGGAAATTGATACTCATACGGTCTTTTAAAATGTGGTAAGATACTTTACAGTGGCAACAGAATCTAAGATAAAATATTACACAGTAATTCAAAAGCTGTATGTCTGTCTTACCATTAAACCCTTTCTTCCTAGGCCTATGGATCCGGCTGTGACATTGTTATTTTGGCAAACGACTTCGAATGTGTGCAGATCATTCCTGGTGCTAAGCATGGGAACATCCAAGTCAGCTGCGTGGAGTGTTCCAACCAACAAGGAAGAGTAAGAACTTCACTTTGTGCAACACTGTCTTTATTGTTTTTAGTAATACCACGGTTTCCTTATTCTTCAGAGCAAGGCGTGTCTGCGCTTTCTTGCTCCTGTGTGTTGCGTGGGAGGCTGTTGATGGAGTTGTAAAGAATGACTTGTACATAAGTGTAAAGTGCTGTTAAGCCAGTGATGCGATGATCAGTTGTTCCTTGGGTGTATTGTCCCAGAAGCGCTGTAGGCATCTCCGCCTTGTACATCCTGGTATTCTGCCAGCTGGTGATCCTGGTGGGCATTAAGCCAGTAGAGAGAAATAAACTTTTATCTTCTCTACCGAATACTCTTTATAATATCAAAACTTTCTGTTTGTTTTCTGAAACAGTTTTAGACTGGCCTCAAGCTCCTGGCCTCAACTGATTCTCCTTGCTTAGTTTCCCAAGTGCTGGTACTACAGGGCCATGTCACTGAGCCTGGAAATAGCATCAGTTTTTTTTTCTTGTGGTACTGGTGATTGAAGTCAGGGCCTTCACACTGAGCACTGTTTTTGTTTGTGTGGAGACAGGGTCTGACTAAGTTACTTTTTTTTTTTTTGTCTTTTTTGAGACAGGGGCTCACTATGCAGTTCAGGCTGACCTTGAGCTCACTTTGTATCCCAAGCTGGCCTCAAGCTTGGAACGATCTTCCTGCCTCAGCCTCCTAGGTGCTGGGATTACAGATGTGCACCCCCACGCCTGGCTTCACTAAGTTACTAAGTTGCCCAGGCTGGTGATCCTCCTGCCCCAATCTCCCAGAGTGCTGGAGTTACAGGCATGCACTGCCATGCCTGGCTTATAACATCACAATTTTATTAAGATATTTAATGAGTTGTTAGTGTCCAGTGTGAATGTGTCATATAGTAGGTGCTTTGCAAAGCCTGTTAATTTAATGAAAGTTTATTTTTGAAATAATTTTAATGAAAGAGTTTTATAGTTCATTCACTAATACTTTAAAACAGAGGATTTTACTTTTTTTTTTGGTATAGGAAATCAAACTCAGGACCTTGCACTTGCCAGGCAGGCGCTTATGCCTCTGAGCTATATCCCCAGCCTATGGATTTACTTTGAAATAGTTAAAATTTCATCATATACTCCCTCAAAATTTCAAACAAAATATGTATCAGATTTACATGTGAAAGCGTATTTGCTGTATGCCCCAGCCGCCTAAGTGCTGAGCTTACAGATGTGACCAGCATTGTATGTGTCTACAAGAATATAAAAGTAAGATTTTTATCTGTAATAACTGTAAGCTACCTCAGTCCTAGAGAGCATTCTTTACTGAATAACAAATTTTATCAAGAATATGCTAAATCAGGATATTACTTGATTAAATAAATAGTACTCACGCAAATTTATGCTGAATATGTTATGGTGACTTTATTATTCCATTTCTCTCGCCCAACGCTACTGCTGGGGTCAAACTTTAATAGTTATGTGACTGTAGTACTCCTTGACAGTCTAGTGATGGATTTCCCCTATTACTGTAGCACTGAATTTTCTCTCTCTTTTCTCATTTTCTTTAGTTTTTCCTCCCCAGAGCATTGCTTATGCTTGTTTTAGAACACAGAGTGGCTAGGCATGGTAATGCGTGCCTGTAATCCCAGCACTCTGACGTTGAGGCAACAGGAATGCAAGTTCCTTTTCAACTGGGATACTTAGTGAGACTGTCTCAAAATAAAAAATTAAATTCTAGGTATATAGCTCAGTGTGAAGACCCTGGTTTCACCCCCTGTAAACACACACACACACACATACACACACACACACACACACACACACACAGAAACAACCCCTTCCCAATGTGCTGGAAGTGTCAGATTTTGTTCATTAATTTTTTATTACTCTTCTTGTAGGCCAAATAGGATAACTTTTAGGCTGCCTTCCAAAATTGATATCGATAGTGCGATAGTTGTCAGAGGTGAATTTTAATAAATTACTTAAGTTCTGGTGAAAATCACAGTCAGCAGATTTTCTGGGAGAAAAGTTTTATTTTTTGGGATTTTGAGACAGGGTTTCGCTATGTAGTTCAGGCTGGCCTTGAACTTAGCAATCCTCCTACCTCAGCCTTCAAGATGTTTAAAATACCTGGGTGTGGTGGCACACGCCTGTAATTCCAGCACTGGGGAGGCTGAGGCAGGAGGATCCTTGTGAGTTCGAGGCCAGCCTGGGCTACAAAGTGAGCTCAAGGCCAACCTGAACTGTACAGTGAGACCCTGTCTCAAAAAAAAAAAAAAAAAAAGATGTCTAAAATACAAAAGACAGTGTTCATACCTATGAGAAGCAGAGCAACCTATGTTTTCTTTTCTTTTTCTAGCCTCAGACTCACAGCTATCCTCCTGCCTCAGCCTCCCTAGTGCTGGTATTATAGGCGTGTGCCACCATGCCTGAGTTAGCAAGCTATGTTTCTACAGTTCCTTACCATTGTGTATCCCTAGTTCTTGTGGTGATGGGTGACTTTCAGAGTCACACAGTTTGTGACTCTGTCAGACTGGTGCAGAGCATTGTCAGCAGGCGTCTGAAGTAGCCTCCAAACGCTGTGAATTCAAACCCTTGTCCTGGAGAGAGTGTTAGGTACTAGAGAACAGTTAAAGTCACCTTTTGGCATGAGGAGAGTACTTGAAAACCACAATAGTCTTTTTTGACAGGCCTTAAAAGATGTACCTAATTTAGTTTCTGTTAGTTTTGTTTTCTGGTACTGGAGATTGAACTCAGGGGGTGCTAAGCTGCATCCCTAGTCCTTTTAAAAATGTTTATTGTGAGGCTGGGTCTCATTAAATTGCCTAAGCTGGCCTCATATTTGTGATCCTCCTGTCTCATTTTCCTGGGTAGCTGAGGTTACAGGTTAGCACTACCACACCTGGCCCTAATGGAGTTTTATGTTACCTGGGTTTCAGAGGGATCAGAAGGGATGGCTTTTGGTCTGTACCCCTAGCCAATCCCCTTGTCTTCAGGAGGGTGAATAGGAACTGGCCTTTCAGGAATTAATGGCAGAGGGGCTCTTGTAGCTTCCAGGAGCAGAGGGGTTTACGTCCCTGTTACCGGGTGGGAGCACAGTCCTGGTCCTCAGGCCCTCTCATCTCCAGGCCAGTGGGTGGCTCTTTGACTGCTCAGCTGTATGTTTTCTGTTCTCTTTCCTCCTCCTAGTCAGCTTCCCATGATGTTTTCTGTTTGGTTGTGTAACAGTCCCATTTATATGATGCGTTCTTAAAACCTGTTATTATTTGATGTCGTCTTCTACTTTCCATGGTTTTTATATTATATTCACTGGATTATAGTTTCTGATAAAGAGATGTGCCATTGAAGTGTATTTTTTATAGATAAGTTTATTTTTTGAATAAATTTATTTCTCTATAAAAATTCTTAGAAAAGGTGATTTCTTTGAATAGGTCAACTTTGTACTTGTAAAAGAAAGCCTACTGAATGTTTTTAGATTCTTAACTCTGATACACTTCCAGATATGTTTACGTCAGGAAATAGATCATTAGGGCTGCTTTGGGATTGTATTAAACGTCATTAGTTTATATGTTATTGTGAAAACAAGGTTGTATTTACCTTTTTCTAAGTATGTGTGCTATGCTTTTTCTTTTTAGATTGCAGCTTCGTATGGAAATGCTGTGTGTATATTTGAGCCCCTTGGCATAAATTCTCATAAGAGGAATTGTGTAAGTATTAATGATAGTAGAATGCTTTTAGAATCAACCTTTTTCAGGTTTCTGATTGATTCTAGTTAACTTTACAGTCTGGTTGATAGCGACAAGAGGCACCGTAGGAACAGGGGTAGAAGTGGGCTGGAATATCAGCGTGCAGGGGTTGAGGCCTGTTAGGACCCTAGGTCCCGAGAACATTGCTAGCTTCCATTTGTCTGGTCTGGACCAGCTTGCTCTGGCCCATGTTACTGGTCTCTGCTCACTGTGTGCTCTCCTGCTGTGCTCCAGAGCAGAGGAGCGCCAGAGCGCTGTCAAGGAGACGATCTCGCACCTCTCAGAGCTCATCTCCTGCTCTTCTCCCACCCTGGATTTTTCAGCCACACTGGAATGCTGTCCCCAGTCTCTCTTCCTTGGTGTCAGCTGTTATCCTGGAATGTCTTCCATGCATCCCCAGGCTGTCTTCCCAGATTCTTTAGTTTTTACTTAGTAAAGAATCTCAGTGGGTCCACCATCACCACACTTAAAAACTGCAGCTTCAACCTGTTTGTCTGTTTTAACTTCTACCCTTTTATTTATTTTTTAACTTCTTTTCCAAGGACTTTTTTTGTTTACTTATGTATTGCTCATTACTCAGAGTGTAAGTGGCATAAATTTTTCTGTTGTTCATGAATGCATCCCAAGTACCTAGAATCTGGAACTCACTGGGTGTAGTACTCCTGAGTCTGTGACTCTTGTTAGGCGCTTAGAGAACCTTTGCAGCTAAGAGGTCTAGCATACCCTATTGACAACCATTCTCATGTATTATTGAGTGCTGTTTTTTTGTTTTTTGTTTTTTTTTTTGAGTGCTGGGTTTTAGTCTTTCTGATTTGGTATTCAGAAATCATCAACTCAGTTAAAAATGATCACATGCTTTAGAACTTCACTGCTACTGAAAAAAAAGCCAAACTGCAAATGTTAAATCCAAGTGCCAGGAGTATGTAAGTAATTTTTTAAAAAAAATTATTTTTGCTTTTTAAGTTGGGGTCTCACTGTGTTCCCTGGGCTGGATTCAAACTCCTGGGCTTGTCTTTCTCCTGTCTCAGGGTCCCAAGTAGGTGGGACTACAGATATGTGCCAACATGCCCAGCTCTAAAAAAATTTTCTTAACTTTTTAATTTTTTCATTTCTTTTTTTTTGTTTCTGTTTTTGTTTTTCTTCCGGTACCACGAATTGAACTCATGACCTTGCACTTGCCAGGCAGGGGCTGTGCCGCTGAGCTAAATCCCCAGCCCCTCATTTCATTTTTTAAAGACAGGATATGTTGTATAGCCCAGGTAGGCCTTGAACTCAGGATCTGTCTAACCCTCAGGTTTCTGTACTGACATGCTCAGCCTAAAGATTGTTTTGTAAAATCAAATGTATTTTAACTAGTTTCAGTACTTTTCATTAAATATGTATATTTGGATTTTTTTTTACATTTTTGAAAAACAGTGTAGATTAAGATGGTAGCCTTCGTCTGTACTAGTAGGAGGGGATGGTGCCAAGTTTTAGAGTGCTTATGAACTGCCTTGGGATGAAGCTCATTGGTGGAGAGCCTTCCTCGCGTGTGCAGGGGCTCAGGTCAGTCCCAGCACCACAGACACAAGTCACCTGGAGAGCATAATGAAAATTCCGTAGCCAGGTGTGGCAGTGCACACCTGTAATCCCAGTGAGGTGGGGGGATTCTGAGTTCGAGCCCAGCCTGGCCAGTTTAGCAATTTAAACCATGTCTCAAAATAAAATATATAGAAAGGACTGGGGATGTAGCTCAGTGCAAAGCCCCGGGGTTTAATTCTTAGTACTGCTAAAAAGAAAGAAATCTTTTTTTAGAGTTCCAGGCTGCACATTGAAATTTTCTGTGATATGCTATAGTTGGCTCATGGATTAAACATCTATGGAAAAAATATTAGGGTCATCTGTAACCTTACAAATGATTTAATTATTTAAAATACTGTTGTGACTGATGTTTGGTAAGCACTAGTAAGATTTTATTTTATTTTTTAAAAAATTATTATTATTATTATTATTGGGTACCAGGAATTGAACTCAGGACCTTGTGCTTGCCAGGCAGGCACTTGTACTGCTGAGCTATATCCCTGGCCCCAAAGATTTTAAAAATAACTACTTTCCTGATTATAAAGTCTAAAATTATTTTTAGATAATGAAATGCAGATTTTGCAGGCGTATCTTAAAGTTTCACATCTAAGTAGTCAAGAAAGCTTGTATCAATTACTTAAGTATTAGAATTACTATAAAAAGTAATGCCATTTTTAAAATTATTGTACTTGCTTGGCAGTTACTAACTTGCCTAACCTGGCATGACTATATCTTGTGCCGTAGTGTTACAACAGGGCACATTGTACATTTATTTTTTAATTTTTTTTTTTTTTTTTTTTTTTTTTTGAGACAGGGTCTTCTTATGCAGTTCAGACTGACCTTGGCCTCACTTTGTAGCCCAGGCTGGTCTTGAACTCGCAACGATCCTCCTGCCTCAGCCTCCCGAGTGCTGGGATTACAGGTGTGTGCCACCATGCCTGGCTTGTGCATTTATTAATATACAACAAAGATATAAAGCAGACTTTTATTTATTTAGAATATAGTAGTTCATGTAAAAGGTTTTTGACTTTTAAACTTTAAATTACTTTTTAGGATATAAATATTAAAAAACGGATGAAAACGTGTAATTGTAAATTATATATATCATATAGTTCAAATCTGTTGACTTCTTAGGAGTTATATATAGTTTTTTTAAGACAGTCCATATGATCATGATAATTAGGATTTCTTTCTACTGTGCATCTATTTTAATTTTAATTTAAAAATTTTATTAGTGCACTTTTGCAATTCATACTGGTGATAGTCACTGTGAGGTTTTAATAAACATTTCTGAGCATCTTTGTAGCAGGCATGACAAGCACTAAAGATAAAGAATTAGCGAGCTGTAAGCAAAGCTTTGGGTGGATGATAGAAGGCCAGAGAAGATGACGGAGTGGAGATGAGGACCAGCCTGGCTTTCCTGCAAACGTGGAAGCCCCAGGTGCAGTTAGGAAAGGCCTCCTCAGGGCAGAGGAGCGCTTCTTGGCTGGAGGGAAGCCTGGGAGACGGTGCTTGTTGGGGTGGCGTTGCTCAGCACGGTAGACTAAAGAAGTGAGATCATTGAAAGTTGTTTTTAAAACATTGTGTGGAAATAGTATTCACATCTTTATTTCAGATCATAAGTTCTTACATTGAAGAAAATGATAAAATGGTAGAGTGTCTGGATATTTGAAAGACATCTTTTTCTTTTTTCTTTCTATGTGTTCCAGCAACTCAAGTGTCAGTGGCTTAAAACCGGGCAGTTTTTTTTGAGTTCTGTTACGTACAACCTGGCGTGGGACCCTCAAGGTATTTAGCAATTATACTTAGAAATTAGAAAACTTAAATATTTGTTTTAAATGTATGCTTACAGTGTTACATGGTGTTTCCTAATACAAAAATAATCAGTGTTATTTTTTTTTTTGTTGAATTCATTGCTTTGTATAGTGCTCAGTATACTGTTCTATGCTATTCTATGCCTTTTTGCCCCTGCTTTTTAATGTTTTATTGCAAGAAACAGTGACTTGTTTCCTTAATTAACATGTATTATACCTTATTTTTACTGTATTTAATGAGAAAATCATAACTAAATCAGGAACCAAAAATATTCCACCTTTATTGGTATCCTTTGTATTTCAGGAAATTACTACCTTTAATTTTGGAAGCTTAATGATAATAGCTGTTGCTCCCTTTTACAATCAAAATTATTGATGCTTTTATATTCCATATAGAAAACAAAGTCCATTAATTTGCAATTTTTCTTAACATCCTGAGAACTTACTTTGCTTATTTTTTTTTTGAGATAGGGTCTTGCAGTGGAGGCCAGTGGAGGCCAGGCTGGCCTTGAACGGGGGCGTGATCCAGCCCATCTTCCCAAGTGCTGGGCTTACAGGCATGTGCCACCATGCCTGGCAATCCTGAGAACATTTTGTACTGTATACATCAGAGTTTTGGGGATTTGCTGTTGTATTTTGGCTTTTTATTCTTGTTTTTAAGACTTGCTTGATACACTGTAGCTCTTTGCTAGTAAGCTTTCTTGTTTGTTCTCAAATCTTTTGTAAGAACTATTCTTTTTTTTTTCTTTTTTGAGACAAGGTCTCACTGTGTAGTTCACGCTGCCCCTGAACTCACTGTGTAGCCAGGGGAGCCTTGAACTTCAGGCAACCCTCCTGGTTCAACCTCCCAGTGCTGAGGTTACGAGCGTGTGCCCCTAGGCCTGGCACTGTTCTTTGTTGTCTGGGAATCGTCGTCATCATCATTTTTGTCCTGCTGCTTCTGAGAGACGTTTCCAAGTGCTTTCCGCAGGTGGTGCTGCATTGCTTATCTTTTCACAATAGTCACGGCCCTAACAGGGACCCATGTGTGCATTTCTGCCCCTGGATAACCCTTGCTTATTCATCAGAACATTCTTTAATTTTCAGATAACAGATTATTGACAGCAACGGATTCTGTTCAGTTGTGGGCTCCTCCAGGAGGTGATATTCTGGAAGAGGAGGAAGAAATTGACAATAAACTTCCTCCCGTTTTAAATGATTGGAAGTGCGTCTGGCAGTGCAAGTTAGTGTCTAACTCTGTTGTTATGTTCATTAATTTAAAAAATGCTTCCTAGATTATGTTCAATTTTACAAAAATCTTTATTTTTTGATGGCACAATTGCAGTTAGAGGCATAGAAAGTAGACTTTTCCAGTCAAAACTCATTAGGTCGTTCTTCAGTTTGTGCAATATAGCTCATTGCTTACAAAAAGATACAGTATTTCCCTACTCAGAGCTCCAGGATGTGAGCTGACAGGGTTGTCACATGGGGCTACTCACACCGGATGAGATGTGGGTGGGGAGGGAGTTGCTGGTCATTTTTCCTCTGGAAGGGCAGCCACCCACTAGAGTGGTGGTGTGTGCAGAGCCTAGCTAGCCAGGGAAGATGTTAGGTTCATTGTCTAGCCTGTTAGGTCAGATACTGATGGGCTGGGTGTGTGTGGGTGTCTTGTATGCATTTGCTTTCTCCAGAGCAAACTTTGGATTCATTTTAATTAAGTTACAGGTTTAAGAAGGTGAAGTTTTTAGGGAGGCAGAAACACTTATGTTCTGATAAGTGTGGCTTTGATGTTATGAAAATCAGATCATTTACATATACAAAAAAATTCTGTTTGTTTTTCTTAGAACCTCAGTATCTGTACAGTTGATGGAATGGTCTCCAGATGGTGAATATTTTGCAACTGCTGGAAAGGTAAAAGACCAAACAAAAAAGAAATAAAAAAACTAAAAATGTTCCTCATGCATCCTCATTTTCAGTTCTCTCTTCTATAAAACTGAGATAACCTCACTCTGAAAGCTGGCGCGAGAAGGAAGTTCTGTTGTGTGCTAGACAGATGGTGTTAGTGTAGAGGCTCCCCTGATGGTCCCGATTAGAAGACAGCAGAAGCTTCAAGAATAGCTCCTAGTTGTCATCTCTGACCTCAACTCCCTTACCTTTTTTTTTTTTGTCTTTTTGAGACAGGATCTTGCTATGCAGTTCAGGCTGGCCTTGAGCTCACTTTGTAGCCCAGACTGGTCTGGAACTCACAACCATCCTCCTGCCTCAGCCTCCCGAGTGCTGGGATTACAGGCATGTGCCACCACGCCTGGCCTTCCCTTACCTTTTTTAGAAATGAATTTTTCTGTTTTGTAAATGGCATGTGTAGTTCTGTTTAGAAAGTGGGATTATTCCACTGGATTCAGAATAAAAAGCAGCCCACTACTGTTTCCAGGGTCCCGAAGTCATTAATCATTGAGCTGAAGTTTTTCTTTCCTTTCTTGTCTCTTGATGACCTGCTGGTGCCCCTGTTTCTTGAGTTCTTCTCCCTGTGGGAGGCCCTGTGTTTGCCTTCTGCTGTGGGAGCTGAGGCGTTCTCCCTCTAGCTGATGTGCCCAGCCCCGTCTCCATGTCCCAGCGAACTTGCTAACTTCCCTTCCTTAAGGCTTCCCTGTCTCATAATTTTTGGGCAGGTTGGTGTTGTTCACATTATTGAGATTATATAAAATATTCTTCATAATTCATAATTATTTCAGGAGCAGCAATTACGTTGTTTTATTGTTTAGTTTTCTGTGTGTGTAATGCATCCTCAGAATTGCTGACAGACTGAATATTTTCTTAGTATAATCTCACATAGGAGATATCCTGAAACATGTTCTCTCCTTGCTCAAATCTGGTTAAGTTTCTCCCTGAGTTTAAAAGAGCACATTAACATTTTGGGATTTTCTTTCAGCAGCCTTGGAATTCTCCTTGCCTTATCCCTGCTGAATTCCCTGTTCTGAACATTGTTTCCTTTCCACCTTCCCTGCTCTGGTGGACATGCCTCCGAAGGCTCCTGAGAGAAGGTGAACAGGCATAAACATTTTTGAGGCCTTCTGTGCCTGAGGTGCTTTGGTTGTGCTCTTGTGTTTGCTTCACCTGGGCGTAGAATTGAACTGGAAATCACTGTCCTCCAGATCTTTGAAGTTGTGGTTCTGTTGCCTCCTGGCTTTTGGTGTTGCTGTTGGGACGCACGGAGCCGGTGAGATGCACCCGTCTCCAGCCCTGAGGTTAGGGGGTCTGCTCTTGGCTCCTAGAGGCTGCAGTGCCATCACGGTGCCCGTACCTCAGGGGAGAGAACTTCAGCGCGTGCACAGGGCGCTCACTTCCGGCGCTTGCGCCCTTCGCTTGCCGGAGACTGTCTCACGGCCGTTCCTGCTGTCACTTCCTTCTCTCTCTCTCTGCATTTCTTCATATTCACATGAGGTCTTTCTGCACCAATCCTCAGACTTACTGTTTTCCATCTCATCCTTTTAAAATTTACTTTAGGGGGACTTTTCTGCTGGAACTTTGAGGTGGTATTTTTATGCTATGACATTTTTAACTTCCAAGATTTTTTTCCTTACTCTCGGAGTGATGCACTGTAAATTATAAAATGTGTATAAGTTTAAAGAGTATGTAGAGAGCCTGGTAAGTGATATGAATAACTAAGTGCACCTGAACCACCACCCATGGGGACAGAGGGTTAAAACTGATGGGTCCCTTGTCTTCTGGATGTGTCATTTCCCTCTAGCCCGGTGCAGCCAGAGTCTTGAATCGTATAATTACTATCTCATTGTTTTTTGAAAAGAGTAGCTTCACATATATGCGTATTCACATTTTCTTTGTTCCTTTTGGATGTGAGTATCTTTTCCTTTATTTATGGACCCTTGCTATTTTCTTCCTTCCTTCCTCCCTCTCCTCGCCTCCCCTTCTTTGATTCCTTCTTCCCTTGGAGATGGGATATCGTTATGTTGCCCAGACTGGTCTGGAACTACTGGGCTGAACTTACTTTGCTGCCTCAGCTGCCTCATATCTCCTACCCCTCAGAACTGCGGCTTGCACCCAGAACCTTTACACCGAGCTACATCTCCAGCCCTTTTTCATTTTTTATTTTGAGACAGAGTCTAACTAAATTGCCCAGACTTGAACCTTGCTTGAATATGGGATTCTGCCTCCACCTTGAAGAGTGCTGAGATCACAGACATGCTCATCACACCCAACTGTGATAGGTCTCTTTTATTTGAGGGATTCTTACACTCTGATCATCATCCTTTGTCAGTTATATGTCACAAATGCAGTTTCCTAATTTGGCTTGTTTTCCACTTTTTACAATGCCCTAAATGAAAGCATGAATGCAGGTAGAGAAGTGTGGTGGACTCCTTGTCTGCGTCCCCTGGCTTCAGCAGTTATTGCCCAGCTGGTTTTGTTTCAGTGATACTGCCCCTCTCAGTTGTATTATTTGGGGTAATATCCTTGATGTCATTTATTTGTAAACATTTCAGTGCTTTTTTTTTTTTAAGATAAAGACTTTAAAAATATTTAAAAATATTCGTAATATGTGGTAGATTAAATGTAGTTGGAATCTTGTTTAGTTTGAATCTTACTTCTGAGAATGTTATGAAAGTGTTCTCCATTATTTTCTTCTCAAGTTAAAAAAATGTAATCTCTTATAATTAAGCCTGTGACCAAATTTCATCCCTGGTTGTAAAACATTCACCTTCACTGTTTTGTGGTTGCGGTGCTGTTTATTTGGTACCTCATTCTTTTTGTGTTGATCTGCCATGCCATTTCTCACATGCGTTAAGTAACGCTGCACGAGCAGCTTGTGCACATCTGTTAGCAAGGTGTGGCTTCCTTGTGGGTGTGTCCAGGCACGTGGACACACCCACCATCTAACCTTCGCAGGGGGTGCCCCTCAGCAGTCCAAAGCCTGTGTGAGTCAGCACTCTCACAGACGCACAGACTTCGGTTAATTTGGTGAATGTTCACTGTTAGCGTTGCGGTTTTAAAGTGCTTTCTCTGATTATGAATGAGGTAAAATACCTTTTCGTACATTTGTTGGGTATTTGGGTGCATAATTTAAAAGAAAATGGTCAGTCTCTTGCCTATTTTTAAATGGTTGGTTTTTTTTCTAATTGATTTGTAAGAGGTCTTCATTCAGGATATGAACTGTTTGTTTATATGTTTTGCAAAGATTTTCTCCCACACTGTTCCTTGCGTATTCACTTTGTTAATGGTATCTTTTAATAGAGATATTTAATTTTAGTGTTTAAAAATTACCAGTTTGTTTCCTTGAGGGCTTTGGTTTCTGAGCTCTATTTAATTAGTTTTTCCTACCTTCAGAGTCAAGATTTTTCCTAGTTCAGTCTTCTAGGCCAGAATTCTAAAACATTTTTTTTTCTGATTTTCTTCACTTTGTGAATCCCTTTTGAAATCTAGTGAAGCTTATAACTTCACAGTATGATTTTTAAAACCATAAAATAAAATTCATAGAATTCCAAAGAAAGTAAATTATTAAACTAAACTTTCAAGGGATTAAAAAATAAATTTGTAATAATAGACATTACATACTTTTAATAATGCATTCAGTAACAAAATTACATTTAAAATGTAGGTAAGTGGTTTAATTGTATTTGCTTATTGTATATAGAAGTAAAATGTGCACATCTCACTTTATCAGGAGAAGTTAGACTTTCCAAGATGTGACAGTTCACCCACAGCCTTTTCTTTTTTTTTTTTTTTTTTTCTTTTTTCTTTGTTTGACTTTCTGAGACAGGGTCTTGCTCTGCCGTTCAGGCTGGACTTGAGCTCATTTTGTAGCCCAGGCTGGTCTTGAACTTGGTCTTGAACAGTCCTCCTGCCTCAGCGTCCAAGTACTGGGATTATAGGTGTGTGCCACCACACCTGGACCCACAGTCTTTTCATTTCATCCCTGGTTGTAAAACATTCACCTTCACTGTTTTGTGGTTGGATAATTACCTGCCCAGAAGTTGCATGAACATCATAGACAGGAGAATTGCACAACATAGCAAGAAGATTGCAGTCATGTGCAGTTGATTAGTGTTTCCAGAAACTAACAATTTACAAGTAGAGTGTAAAGCATATTTTGAGATGTGCAGCACCTCTCACATGATGTGGAACGTTCGTGATTTCCAGGACAGAGTTGCCTGTATGGTACCACTTTGTTGGCTAAAGCATTTTCTTCAACTAGCAGTTAGGAAAACAGTAGTAATTGCGGTTAGCAATTGTTGTTCTCCTTCCACACTCATGGTACCTCCTGGATTTTGTGTTCTTGGTTTCTCCCGAAGCAACTTGACATAAGGATTTGAGTATTAAGTAATTAATATGGGGAGTGATCACAAGGAATATACTGGGTTGAGGCATCCACTTCATGAGTGTGGTGCTGTACCCTTTACTGAGTGTATTGACAGCTCAAGTTGTCAAGTTTTTCATGCACGTGAGTAATTGGCACAGGTGGTGAGGATGGGACATCAACCCTCAGCACTCAGCCACCTCCTAGAAAGTCAGAGGCAAAGAGGTGTAGCTGCTTCCAGTTGAAACTAGCATCCCACAGTAATGAGGCCTGGCAGGGTACAGGTGAAGCACCGAAGGTGTCTTTTATGTCTTGGTTTCTATCGCTGCATCAGTTTTTATTTATGGCTACCAAGAGGCCAGGTCTAACTTTGCCGTATGGCTTCTGTTGTCCTGTGTAATTTACTGAAGAGCCTGTCCTTCCTTCTTGCTCGCTGTCACCACTTTTATAATTTCCTCAGTCAGTTGCGCCCGTTCTGTGGGTCTGCTCCTGGGCTCTCTTCTCTAGTCCACTGTCTTTCCTTGTAGCAGGGCCACCTGTCTTAATGCTGTGCCTCTTGAATTAAGTCTTGAGAGCTGGTAAAGCAAGTCTTCCTATCTCG